GTCCTATGGCTCACTTCATTTGTTTCCAATCTCTCAGGGATACTTCCTGATGTCCAGTGTCCTGAAAGTTATTGTTTCATATATTTTGTTTTTGTTGTTTCAGGTGGGAGAATAAATCAAATCCCTGTTGTCCACCTTGGCTGGAAGCTGATGTCTTCTGCAGCCTAAATAACCTTCCAGGGCTACTCAGTTACTTTGTTTTAAAACTCAGAATCAGCCTCAGTTTACCATGTTTTATTTCAGTTCTCATTCCATTGTTTTTTAAGATTTCTGCAAATGTAAATACACTATCGTCTTTTTGTTGTTGTTCAGATTTTTAGAGACTGTGATTCATTTTTCCTACAAGAATGTTGTTTTGAGATGAGGATTATTCCTCATTTTATGAGACAATGCAAATATCAGTGTGGTGATTTTATCAATCCCAGGGATTTGAGAGCTCTCTAAGACAGTTTAGAATTGTTTGCAGCCATTTCATGTTCCATGTTGCATCATTCTTTTCATAATTGCGTTCTTTAAATATATGCTTGATGAATAATCAGCTGCATCTCCCACTTTCAATTATATCTACTGTATAGCATTCCCCAAGGGAACTATTCAAAAACACACACTCATTAGCTCCATCAAGTATTTTCACAAAATAAAATTGATCTCTTTTCCCTGAGATTTACTTATTTATTTTTTTACTTAGGGATGAGAATCCTACCAAAAGCCTGGAAAAGGCAAAAAAAGTAGTTTGCTCAACAATCTTGCTGTGATAATTTTTTTCTTTTTTAAAATTATTTTTCTCCTTAGAGACTGACTTTGCTAAATTTGAGTAGAAAATTTCAAACATTTTCTGCTGAAGGGTTAATTACCCACTTTCAAATATATCATCTTGGGATATTTTTGCAGGAAATCTGTGGCTTTACTGCTTATTTAAATTACTTTTTCTTCATAAGATCCTTAGATTGCTAACTTGTAGAGTGAGCCTCATCTATTGTGATGGTTCTCAACTTGGTCTTCACATTAGAATCACCTGGGAATGTTTAAAAGTTGGCAATGCCAAGAGCCCCCACCCAGACCAATTAAATCAGTATCTCTGGGCACAGAGCCTGGGCATCTGTATATTTTAAAACTCCCCTAGTGACTTTAGTTTGCAGCCAGGATCGAAAACCACTGATGTAGTGAAAAAGCCCTCATTTCACAGATGAGAAAACAGAAGCTCAGAAAGGTTAGCTGTTTGCCTAATGTTATACTGATAAAGGGACATCTAATGCATGAAGTACACACTTAGTGCCTGGCAACAAGGCACTGTAGCAGTGCTTCAAAGACACTTTCTTATCCAGTCTTATAATGACCTAATTTTTAAAAAACCCATTTTGTAGTCAAGATTCACAAATGTTGAGTGATTTATCCAAGGTCACGTTGTTAAAAACGTGGACACACTTCTGTCTCCTGATCCTCAGTAGAAGACTTTTTTTTTCATTAAACCTCTCTGCTATGCTGTCACTGGGCTTCTTTAAGACTTACTGGCAGAGACGTTTCCAGATTTCAACCATCAGCTCTAAACCCATCAGTTTAGTGATGCATCAGTGGCTGGAACCTCTAGAGTGCCTGTTCATAGCAGGTGCTACATATATTTGTGAAATAAACAAATCAGTGCAGTCCACGTTAATCAGAATTATTGGCTTTAAATAAAAGAGAGCCTAGACCCAAGTGATCCAAATTAAAGGAGATTATATTGGTTTACATAATTTTTAGTGTGAGTATTCTGAAACTAGGTGCTCAAGTTCTATAACGAGGACCCTTATTTACCTCCATTTCTTGTTTTGGTTTTCCTGTGTTTTGGTTATTGGTGCATGACTAATAGTCTGATTGACTAGGTCTGAGCCATGGGTCAGCTCTTGAGCTAATCAATGTAGGAGGGAATGTAGTGGTCTTACTAGCTGGGTTTGGGTCACCTGATCTTCCCTAGAACCAAAGTGATGGTGGTGTTAGGTCCATAGGATCCAGGGGCCCTAGAGCGGGAGGAGAGTCTTCTTTCCAACGAAGAAGGGGTTGGGATATTGGCAACAGAAGCAAATAGATCCATAGGATTCTATGACATTGGACTAGGAGGGGTGGGACTTTGAAAGCCATCTCTTGAGAGCCTTGGATGTCAAGGGGGAGCCCCGATAAAACTGCAAGCTCCTATCTTCTTCTATCTCACCTGCCCCAGGCTGCGGAAATCCCTCTCCCCAGGGGCCCATGGAAGCACTTCGCTAGGTCTTAAATGCCATTCACAGCAATCCAGAAGCTAGTGACTCCTTCTTCTGTGCCAAGATATTATAAGAACAGGTTTACTTACTTACTGTTTGTGTGTGTGTTGGTGGGGCGGGGGGCAAGGTTGTTCTTGGGCTAAGTGTTAGTGTCCTTAGTTTTCCTTTAGGAAGACCCAAAGAATTCTCAGGACTAAGTACATCTTATAAGTCCTGCAAAGAAATCCCACTGACCTTGGGTTTAAAGTCACAGCCCAATCCGCCAGAGGAGCAAATCACTTTCTTTTCTTTTTCTTTCTTTCTTTTTTTTTTTTTTTTGAGGTTAGTCATGTCTTCAGAGGATTTCTAAATTCTCCTAATGGAAGGAATGCTGTGTGTATGCTGGTAACCATAGTCCTATAAAGCCAGAATTGCTGAGGCCCTATCAAATAAATGGAAATCAGTGAGTTTTGTCCATCTCCCATGCATACCACGTTGCAGATTCATATGGATGTTAGGCAGAGGCAGGGGAGGTTCTGGAGGGGAGAGAGAGAGGGAAGAGAACTGTTATTGGGCTGACTTCTCAGGGGTCAGTAGGAACTTGGGAGACCCAATGACACAATTGCTCTGAATGTTTGAAGAATAGCAGCAGCAGCATCATTTATTGCTCCAGTGGTGAATGTGCACAGCAGCTGGGAATGTTTTTATGATTTAAGAGGAGTGAAAGGTGCAGTGACAGTGCAGTTTGGGTGGAAGGTTGGGAGGCCTGGCCTCGGTGGGGTGGCTGGAGCTGGCGGGGGCGCTCAGAACACAGCCATTTGGGAAGACAGTGATGGAAAGCAGGTGGGTATACAAATCCCCTGAGGATACTTAGCTATTGGCTCTGAGTGTTCCGAAAAGTGAGAAAAGGGCAAGACATTTAGATAATCAGAAGACCAGGCATGTAACAATGTTGATGGGGCGGATGAGATTTATGTACAAAAATGTTCAGCACCGTTACCACTAACAGAATGAAAAATGGAAATAACTCAATTATTCCTCAATTATCTAACAATAGAGAATTAGATGAATTGCAATTCATTCATTTATAGGCTGTTATATAGCCATCACTAATGACACTGTGAAGAATTTGCAATAAAATGGGGAAATACTCTTGATCCATGAAAAATGAGTGGGACACACAATTAGACCATCTTTGTAATCATTCTTGGCTCCATTTTATGGTTCTGCCATTTTCTTTTTCCTGCCCTTAATAAAAACATATTTTGTGCCTGTGCTTTTGTAGGCAGTATGTCTGCATTGTGGAAATTTGGTAAAGCACAGAAAAGCATTACAAAAAGAATCACAATTCCATTACTTCGTGATGGCTGCTGCCAATGTTTTGGTGCATTTCCTTTTAGTGTTTTTTCCTCCCTGCAGGTGTTACCCTAGACTTCTCGAGTCTTCAGAATTTTTGGAAGCACTTTTGCCTTGGCAATTAACATAGCTGAGCCTTATTTCTTAATCAGTGGGTGGTCCATTACTTTATCAAGATTATCTGTGGATTTAGCGAATTCACTGTATTTTCTCCCATTCAGCTTCCTGGGATCTATCACTCCCCCCAATAGGGCAACTAGCCCCTTTCCTTTTATGTTCTCAGAAGAGGTGGTGGTGTGAAAGAGTTCCAGAATAACCTGGGGTTAATTGCAAAGAATGTTCAACATCACTGTTCTTGGAATTCATTGAGTATGCCCACCCCTGGGAGTTTCTCACTGCCGTGTTCCTCCGTAGGGCCCAGCTTCCCAGCATCCCCATTTCTATTTTGATTAAGCAGCATTCAATTAAGTAATTCCTATTAGTATATTCATTGATTTAATTCTCCCTTTGCTTCATTCCACCTAGACTTACATAGAGATCTTGAATTTCAAATTCAAAAATTATCATCAGGTTGTTCTGTCAAATTAAAGAAAAATTATTTCCATTAAATATATTCTTATGTCCTCTAGAACAACCAAATCTTACTTTGTGAAGTTGTATATGTGTATATTTACACACACATACATACACACGTACTCATGAAATATATATTTCAGTACGCACACATGTCTAAGATATATGAAGAGTATGTATGTTCATATATATGAATTTTAATGAAAAGTATTATGTAGGTTACTTTATAACTCAGTTTTCACCTACTGTATTTCATAGAATCTAGGATACCATCAACTATTATAAACACCATTTTTTATATAAAACAAAGAAAGGAAAACCGAAAAACCTTTACCAAAAAATATCACTCATTATAAGACATAACCAGACATTGATGTTATGATGCGAAAACATGTATGTCTTCGGTACAATGGGGTGTGTATAAACCAGCTATTGCTACAATAAAACTACATAAAAAAGACCCCAAAACTCTGCTCCGTAGCATGCAATGAAACGAATTGTTGATTGCCCATGTATCTGCAGGCTTGCTGTGGTGGGGAGTCTGGACTCTATGTATCATTTTGGGGTCTGGGGGGGAAGTGATGTGGCCTTGAGTCATGTTATTTCCATGACAGATCACTGGAGCATAAGAGACCAAGTCCAACAGAACGAGCTCATTTTGTGCCTCTGTTTGTATATTGTGTGTTCCCAACCCATTACCCGAAGCAAGTCACTTTTAGTCCAAAGTAAGATGTGTGTGTGGGGATATGTGTGTGTGGGGATATGTGTCAAAGATGTGGGAGGGAACCATTGAGACCAAGAATTCAACTAATAGGGTATTTAAAAATAACCAAGTCTTGTATTTCTTGCCCTTAGTGACCTGCCTCACACACCTTTGGAGCAAAGTAGATCATACATCTAAGAAGTGGAAGAGGAAAACAGACAGGTGCGATGGAGGGTGGTTTTTATCTTCTTCTTGGTCCATGAACACTCTCTGATGAGTAGGAGTTACTTTTTGAAGTCAGACAATAGACCTACACTGACATAATTTATGATTTCTTTAAAAAAAAAAGCCCAGGTAGGCAGGTGGTCAGGGAGAGGAATGAGGAGTTATTTCGGAGGAAATTCAGAGGCAGGCACTGGCCTCTGGGAGGGTGAAATCAGCATACATAAGTAGGATCCCCACTCTCAGGGGGCCTGGGGGCGTGAGACGTGTGGTACAGACCCTGGGGAAAGATGACAACATGGTTACTGGTAACCGTGCGCCAGATTAGGAGGTGTCTGGGAAGGGGGGCCAGGTCCACTCTTGAGAGGTGGGTGTCAAAGGGTAGGAACAGCTGTGCTGGGGAGAGTCGCTCTGTGCTCAGCACCGTTATTGGATCTGATATCCCCTCTCCTTCAGCGGAGAACTAGGTCTGGGTATGAGGTGAGGCTGAACTGAAAAGCTGCACAAAGGACTTGCGTCTGCAGCGTCGGTATAAGGAAGCCTGGAGAAGCCCAGCACGTCTCTGTCGATCAGCAGAGCGCAGTGGAACAGCCAGAGACCAACAGAACAGCAGTGCTTAAGCGTTGTCTGGTTTCAGTCACTGGGAGAGCATGTGACAGTGTAGATCGCCGGACCCCCGGCCAGACACCGAGGTCACAGTTCTGGGAAGGGACCTGACAACAGGCTCTGAGTGCGCACCCAGGTAAGATGGCTGCTGGTCTGGGGCCCGACTTGGAGAACCATCGCCCTAAGGCAGCTGTTCTCAACTTGCTTGCAATCTGCACTAGCTGGAGAGCTTTTAAATATCCCGTGCCTAGGCTGCACCCCAGACCAATTAAACCAGAATCTGGGGGTGGGACTCAGTCATCAGGAATTTTTTTTTAGCGCTCCCAAGGTGAATACGATGTGCAGCCAAGGTTGAAAACTGCTGCTCTAAGGAGAATTAATTTAATCAGTTTAACTACCGAGTCCACTGGCAGCAGGTACTGAATGAGCTCATCACAACCACCACCCCTTTGTCTGTGGACCGAGGAGCTTAGACGGGGCCTGTGCAGGTGTCTCGGAAGAACGTAGCCTGGAACTCGGAACCCAACCGCCTTCGTGGGTGCCAGGGAAATTAGGAGAAGCTCTTGACAGCGGGTGGAGGGAGAATGAGAATCATGGAGAATTTTAACCTGGTTATGTTCTCGTTGAAGCGGGACAAAGGTCACGGTCAGAGGCAGGCAGCTGTTGTGAATGTGATGTTGTGAACTACGGTGACTTCTTTGTTGTCATGACATTGTCTCCTGGTTGAGGTGATGTTGCTTACAGCCCTGTGTGTTCTCGGGCACAGGTTCACAGCTCCTCAGACGGATGTCACCACACCCTCCGGCCTCCACCCTGGACCCTGGGGTCCTCTGCCCCTTAGCTCCTCACCCCTGCCTCCCCCTCTAGTAGCCTCTGTTCTGCAGGCAGGTTTCTAGGTTCCGGTTTGGTTTAGTTTTGTCTGTTCCTTTGTTTTGTTTCTTTATAGTCTACACGTCCATGAAGTCATCTGGTATTTGTCTTTCTCCCTGTTGTGGGGCAAGCCCACAGGCTGGTAAGGGAGGGGAGCCGGGTGGGGAGTGGGCAGCAGGCGGGCAGGCCTCATGGCCCCCGGTGAATCTTTACTCCTTCTCTTTGGGTCCCCTCTCGTATTCTTTCCTCTCCTGACCTTCGCTTGTCCTCTCGTAGCCGTCCTGTCCCACACATTCCCATGTGACTCCCTTAGAGCCCGGCCTCCAGGCTCAGGTGTGCACACTCATACATGCCCACGCCATACTCCAGGTATCTGCTATCAGCACGCGTGGCCCGAGCCTGTGCTCCCAAATGCCTCCTGTGTCAGCACAATCAAGGCCGCAGAGACAGAGAAGGGAGCAGAACAGGCAGATTGATTGCTGAGGGGAGCAGCGGGTGAGACAGGAGAGGTCTGCTGTGCCATGTGAGATTCTCGCCAGCCGGCCAGGATCGAACCCGCGCTGCAGAGGCTGCGGACATCTTCACAGCTCTGCGCTCAACTACCTGCGCCACCAGGGAGGCCCAGAGGGTAACTCTTGATGAAGAGTTTGCTCTGGGCTGAATTTGCCTCCCCCCACCACCCCCCCAATTCACATGCCAAAGTCTTAAACCCCAGGGTCCCAGAAAGTGACCGTATTTGGAGATAGGGTTTTGGAGCGATGATTAGGTAAAGTGAGGCCATATGGGCGGGTCCTGATCCAACATGATTGGTGTCCCTGTACGGGGAGGGGATTAGGACACAGATAGACACACAGACAAGACTGTGTGAGGACACAGGGAGAAGCGAGGTCTCAGGAGAAACCGGCCTGCTGCTCTCTACTCTCCAGAGCTGTGAGCAAACGCTCTTCTGCTGGTGAAACCATCCAGGCTGTGGACCTTCATTATGGCAGCCCTCGCAAGCTAACACAGATTTGGATGGATGATTTGTTGAGTGATTCAACTTATTTTCCAGAGAATGAAAGCAAATGCGTGGAAATGAGAAGTAGATGGATTTGGCTCAAAATAAATATAATTGAACATTCTTGACAGGCTGCTGCTAACACAAATAATATCCCCTTTATATATTATTTGTCTCCACTGATGAGTGTGGGAGTTTTGTTTTACAACTGGGAGAACAAGGATGATTTTGGTGGGTTTCATGGTCTCAGTGTGGAACAGGGGAATTGAGAGGGATGGAATGATGCACTCGTGGGATACTTTGGAGTTATTTTAAACCCCCGTGGAAGGAAGAGTTTAGATGCATTAGTTGAAAAAGCAAGAATTGATGTAATGTATTTTAAGTACTTTGTTGGCGTAATGCCTGGTGCATAGAAACACTCAAAAATGTTAGGTATCTGCTTGTCTGCTCTCCCCTCCTCTTTAATGTTTGCAGCAGACAACTTCTGGTGGGTCTTAACCAATTGACCAGAAATTACCCGTATTAATCCAGAGAATCACAAAGGGCAAGTCTCAATGGCCACGGCAGGGATGCTGTGTGATCTAACTGGAGCTGATTGGGCCAACAGTGCTCACGTGACCCCAGCTGGGCCGATCAGTCTCCTCCCATGAAATTTGGAATTAGACCTGAAAGACTCTGGCCTCGATGAAGCTCATCTGTGGAAACCCAGGAGTTGAGACCTATTATTATCTTATTATAATTTTTGTTACATGTAGCACAGGCTTGCAGGGAGAGAATGACTGAACATTCATAGGTTTAATAGACAGGTATTAGAAGGATACAGGTGAGAGGTGGAAAGAAGCTACTCACTGATGGATTTAATTTTCCCAGCTTCTTCCTCTAACTCTGTTACATTCCTGCTCTTGGATCCTGTGCCAGACTCCTGAGTAATTATAATACAGCACATTCCTACTTGACTTAAGACCTTCCATCGTTTCTATTTGCAGAACTCTGATAATGTTTTCCTGCGAAGGGCAGGAGAACTATGAACTATTCCTGTTCACCTTTTTTTTTTTTTTTAATATTTTTAAAATTTATTTGTACAAGAACTGGGGTACAGGTCAGAGGCGCGGGAGGGTGAGAGAATTCACCAGAGACAGAGTGGGGAGCAGAACAGGCAGACGACCGAAAACACTGCTGAGGGGAGCAGCGGGCGAGACAGGAGAGGTCTGCCGCGCCATGTGGGTATCTCCCTGGCCGGCCAGGAATTGAACCCGCGCTGCAGAGGCTGCGGACAGCTTCATAGTGCTGCGCTCAATCTGCTGCACCACCAGGGAGGCCCACAACTTCCGTTTAGAAAAACCTTTTGTGTGACTGAGTTATCCTAATGAACACAATGTTCATTGGGTTGACTCTGGTTCTGTTTTCTAATCTCCAAAATGTGACTGTGATGTTGGCATGGAATGAAGCTATGTACATAGAAAGTTTAGCACGGCGCCCAGCAAATGGAAAGAACTCGTGTGAGTTTGTCTGTCTTTCTGTTTCTGTCTCCCTTTCTTTCACCACTGTCTTCATTGAGGTAAGGCCACAAGGATGACGCCCGAGGTGAGCCACCACGGATGATTTTCCCCCAGTCCCAGGATGACAGGATGAAGCATGGGAGATTGATGGATGGACCAGGCAGATAGATTTTGTCTGCCTTTCCTCAAAGCTGAGGACTAACTGGACCCACAAGTTGGAACCTGACATGAGACTTTATATCTTGTTGCCTGGGGCACTGGTCATATATTTAAGCCTCTGGCCAAGGAATCTTTCAAGGCCAAATTGTGCCGCTGTTCCCAGTTAAGCTGATTCAGCTATTATTTCCCAAGAAGCGCAGGACAGCGTGGTTGTCCTGTGTGTGTCTGTCTTGATTTGTTTGTCCTGTCTCTGTCCTCATGGCTCGCTTCCTTTTCCTCTCGACAGCTATTAAAGAAAATACATACATAGTGGGAGACTTCAACACCCCACTCTCACCAATGGACAGATCAACAAGGCAAAAAATAAACAAAGACACTAGAGCCCTTTTCCTCTCGCATTTCCACCAGGTAAGTGCATGAATTATCTGAGTAGTCTGTGCCCATGTATCCTGGTGCATGTCTCTGTGTGTGAAATTTTTCATTTCCCTAAGGGGATCAGGAACTTGTGAAAACAAAACTCTTATTCAAAATGGGAAAATAGAACTTGCCCACCTCCTTTTTTTAAACATCTTTGCACCCTTTTTATTTAAAAAAAAAAAAGTCTAAATAAAGTGGTTATCTCTTTGCTGGTGTACTGATTTTGACAATGATTTTTGATAATCACTTTCACTAAAGTTCTTTTAGAAGAAGACTTTGAATCTGCCCATTTTAAGGTTTCTCTTATAGCCAGAGATAAAACACCTTGATCAAGCTTCCATAAAAACGCACATCACATCAATTACCAGATATCGCCAGGGGCAGGCTCCTTGTTCCACATCTGCTACTTTATTACTAGCAGCACCAGCAGAATATATTACAGGGCCCCTGGCCCTGGGTTTCCACCCACATCTGAGAGCACCCCGGGATTGCTGCCAGCTCTGCGCACTTGTCTAATGAGCTGCTTTAACACTGCACACTGCCCCTCTATGGCGACCTGTTTTCCTCCCCATTCCATCAAAATCATAAAGACTATGGTTATTATATGGGGTGGAGGAGACTTGATCTCTACCCTTAAGGATCCTGATTTACAAAAGGTGTCAGGACCAAGAAATGATGGTGATGAGCGATGGAGCTCCCTCTCTCCAGCATTTACTGATGTTGGTCAGTTTATCAGGCACCTCACATGTTTTATCTCATTTAATACTGAAACTATCCTATAGGGAGATACTGTTGCAGGGCAGCAGGAGCAACAGCAAGATAAGAGCTGTTGTTGTCATTTTTTTTAAAGATTTACTTATTTATACATACAAGAGCTGGGGTACAGGCCAGAGATGCAGGGGGTGAGAGGATTCAGCAGAGACAGAGTGGGGAGCAGAACAGGCAGACTGACTGCAAGACACTGCTGAGGGGAGCAGTGGGCGAGACAGGAGACGTCTGCTTTGCCATGAGGGTTGCTCCCTGGTTGGCCGGGGATTGAACTTGTGCTGTAGAGGCTGCGGATTACTTCATAGTATGGTGCTTAACCCCTTGTGCCACCAGGGAGGCCCCAAGAGCTGCCATTGTTCCATCCCCCAGGTTTCTCACCTAGGTCTGTTTCAATAGTCCAAGACTGAGAAGCAAGCGCAGCCTCTTCACACATCTCTCTGCTCCATACGCCCCCCCCTTCCAGGGCCCTTCTGACTCCCTACCTCGTCTCCTCCTCCAGCCTCCCCCCCAGCCTCTCCCTGCTCAGCTCCTGTGGGTAACTGCACACCTTACCTGGTCTTAGTTGAGCACGTCATGAAGTTATCAAGACTATGAGAGACCCAACTTGGTTGAAGGGTATTTTCGAAAAATATCTTTTTGAAATGAAGATTAAATTTCATCCAAATGTCAAGTATTCAACAAATTATATATAAGTTCACAATATCCAAATCAAAATCCTGTTGGGACTCTCAAGAATCTTTCAAATTCATTCTAAAATTCATCTGTAAGGATTAATAGTTGAAATTATCCAAGGACATTTTGAAAAAAAGGAAAATGAACCGATGACATTTTGAAAACAAAGGCACCTGCCTGACGAAATCACATGGTGTTCTGTGAGGCTACAGTCATCGAAGCAGCGTGACCTTGGTACCAGAAACAGTCAGTGTAATAAGCAGTATTAATGACTAAACCGTGAGCCTGTACGAATAGGATCACGTAAGAGTAGGACAGAGAATGCATTGTGAGCTAATGGGAGACAGGCCAATTCAAGAATCATCTTAGAAAAATCAGTTGTTTAGGGGAAGAGAAGCAAGTTAGAGCTTCACCAATATATTATACTCCCAGACGCATTCCACAGGAAGCAAAGAGATCATTGTGGAGAAAAGACTGGAAAGACTGAAAATAGAATAAATGCAGGCCTCCATCTTGGTTTGAGGTAGGACTTTTTCCCCAAGCCTGAGACTCATAGAAAGAATCACAAGAAAAATACTTGTACATTCAATTTAAAAAATCTGACAAGTTTGAATAAGTTCAGGGGAACTAGCCTGCAGGCAGGAAAAAGAAACCTGACAATTTTGTACACCAGGGTGGTGGAAGGGGTGCATTGTGGGAAATGTGGAAACATCCTCAATGAATGGTCTTACAATGCCAAGAAAGCTTTGCCATGGAAAAGACAATGTGCAAAGGGCACGGAAAGTTGATTTTCAAAGTGACACATAGAAGTGGTCTTTAAGTAGATGAGGAAAATGTTCGTCTTTAACAGCCATCAAGAATTTGAGAAGGGCCTCCCCTGGTGGCACTGCAGTTGAGCGCTGGGTTGCGAAGCTGCCCGCAGCCTCTGCAGCGCCGGTTTGATCCCTGGCCACTGAGTGAGGGTCCCACGTGACGCGCAGACCTCTCCTGCTGCCCGCTGCTCCCCTCAGCAGTGTACTTCATCAGTCTGCCTGTTCTGTTCCCCACTCTCGCTCTGGTGAATCCTCTCACCCTCCTGCGCTTCTGACTGTACCCAGTGCTTGTATAAATAAATAAATAAATCTTAAAAAAAAAAGAATTTGAGAAGATAAGGCATAATTTTTTTTTAAAGATTTTTTTTATTTATTTATACAAGCACTGGGTACAGTCAGAAGCGCGGGAGGGTCAGAGAATTCACCAGAGCTAGAGTGGGGAACAGAACAGGCAGACTGATGAAATACACTGCTGAGGGGAGCAGCTGGCGCGGCAGGAGAGGTCTGCGCGCCATGTGGGACCCTTGCTGGCCGGCCGGGGATTGAACTGGTGCTGCAGAGGCTGCGGGCAGCTTCACAGCCCAGCGCTCAACCGCTGTGCCACCAGGGAAGGCCCAATGAGGCATAATTTTACCTACCAGATCTCCCAATGAAAACATTACGAGACGTCCTGCCAGCTAGGGTGTGAGGAACAGACACTGTTTCGTGCTACTGGTCATTAAATAAATGGGTGCAAATTAACTTTCGCGTCTCCAGTTATTCCTGTGAGATTGACATGACCCCACCTATAGGTCACAGCAAGGGGCAGATGAAATAAGAGATGCAAAATACCTGGAACGGCATGAATGCTAATTATTGACATTGGAAATGATGGCTGTAGAGTGGTGGAGATTTCAGAGGACTAAAGAGCGAGGTACCAGTGTGTGAACCCTGCTACCAATTAGTGTGAGGTGCACAGGAAGGAGACATGAAAAGTGCTATCCTGTTTGCCTCCTGGATTTATGGATTTGGAAACAGAAGCTGTGTTACAAATGCTGAAGGAGAAGGGATTTATTGGGCTTTCCCCATGATGGATGGCACTTTCAGGCTGAATCCCAGGACAGCCGTCACCAACAGGGTTGCCGGTTGACGACTGACCTCTCTCAAGAACCCCCGCCCCAAACCTGGGGACCTGTGCTCCTTAGCCCTTCTTTGCTGGCTTGGTTTATTCAGACACCCTTCTGGAAGCACAGCGAGGAAGAAGACAGCATCATTTTCAAATTGTACCTGATTCCTAAGATCTGAGCTGAGCCCGCTGACTTAGGGCTTGGCTGACTCCAGATAAAAGGCTGGTCTTTCCTTTGACTCTGTAGTGTTGGATTCAGATGGCAGCGGCTGCTGTTTTGCTTGGAAACATACAAAATAGACTCTCATCAGCCATGACTGCTGATGTCCTGTCAAGAGAAGAAGGACTGTAAGCATCATCCAGTAACATAGTTGGTTTCAAATGAGTCAGTCTTCAATACCTGATTGAGATGAAGTCTTGTTTGCATATTTGAAATGAACTAGAAATCCCACACCCTCTGAGTGCAAACAGGGAAAGCAGTCCCTTGGATTGTGCTTGTTTTCCAGATGTGGTGAAAACCAGCCATCTGCAAAGGGGCCTGGGAAACAACTGAGCTGCTAGCAACACAGACTCATCAGCATATTGACACCAGCCGAAGACCAGAGCTCACACTCTGAAATCTGGTAGGATTTGCCAATTTTAATTTCTTCAGCAATTCAAAATTTGCTTTACAGACAATCCTTATCTGTCTTATGGAAGGAACATTCTGAAGGAGCCCATGAGCTCTGCAGATGCCTGCAAATACTTCCCCCCTGTCTTGGGGCGTCTCTGAGTATAGCAACTTAACCTTGATACAGATGCTTCAGACGGAGATGTTGAGTTTCCCTTTAGCAACATAAACTGGATGCACAGCAGAACTGAGCCATTTTAAAGATAATTTTACTCCTAAATCTAGACTGAGATATGTCTGGAAATTGTTCTAGGGTCTTGGGCAGTGTGATGTGTGGATGTCGTTCAAGTCTTGTCCATGGTGGGGAGGCCAGCCTGACCTGTCGCACAGGAGCAAAGACGGAAGGAGCTGGACCAGGCGCACCCTGCTTAGCTGATGCCCTCGTAGGGATGTAGTTAAAGTACATTTGGCTTGTTCAGTTTAGCAGTTAACCAGATAGCTAGGTCCATAGCCTTCTTACTGGTCCTCTGACTCCCCTTCCAGCTCCCTCTGCCTAACCTGTTCCATCGCAGCACGTGGAGGGAGGAGATGAGATGATGGAGACGTGTAGCATTTGGGGAGGTGAGAGACTTGATCGTGAGCCCCACGAGGCCGGGAGTCAGGCTGTCTCTTGCTGACCCTCTCTCTGGTTCCCAGCAGGAACAGCAAGTGCTGGTGGGGAGGAAGGGCTCGTGGCAGCCATGAAATCAGCCCTAGCCTTGGTTACAGGAGCCGAAGCTGCTGCCTGAGAATATGGGGGTGCTTCTGGCTACTTATCCTGGGGCAGGTGAGTCTGGGTTGTTCAGGGAAGCAGGTCTTGAAGGGGGAGAGCAGGGGATTCCTCTCTGGGGCTGGGAAGATGGCCCTGGTGTTGGGGGGATGTGCTGAGAATATTCCTGTGGGTGAGTGGGTTCTGGCACAGGGCTAGGAGGTGGAAGAGTAGGAGAACTAGTTTCTAGAAAGACTCTGAGTTTGGATGAATCGTTTGGACTCAGGATTGGTGCTTATTGTCTCTTGATTCCCAAAAGCTAGAACATGGTGGAGCAAGCACATTTTTACAGAATTATTTGTAATAGAGCAACAAACACTCAGCCTTAACAAAATTACTGACAAAGGGGAGAAAGGTTAAATCAAAAGCAGAACATCCACAGTGTGGGGGAACACCATCAGTTAAAAACCATGAGGGGACCCCACCTAGATCCAGTAGGGTGGGTAGACTGTGCGCTTAAAGACCTGCTCCTTATGACAAAGCAACTCGTAAGAGGACAACGCGTAGTATTCCGCTAGTAAAACAAAAGAATGTGTTAAACTTATGTTTGTTAAAATGTTTTATAATTGGAAATCTAGTCAAGTCACATATTTAATTAAGTGAAAGGAGAGAGAAGGGGTGAGCTTATTTAATTTGCATTTCATGCTGATGAGACCAGTGAGGTAGACAGGGCTCCCAGGGATTTCACCCTCACCAGCTGGCCCAGGATGACGGGGGTGAGGGTGAGGGGCAGCTGGGTCCTCACCCTGATACATCCATGCCTGCAGTAGACCCTGGGACTCTGCGGGTCTGTCTGGAAGTTTCCAGGACCACTGCCCGTGTGATCCTTGGATATGCACCGGTGTTCTTGCACAAAGAAGAAAATTGTTATACAAAGAGCCACCCCCGCTCAACCTGCCGAGGGGAGCTGGGAACCAAGATGGGACGGCAGGAAGGCCAGTGCTTTGTGAAATTCGGATTGGCAGCCACTGTCAGCCCTGCCTCCTGGCGGGGTCCCTGCAGCCTGTCACGGAGCAGGGAGCAGGTTGGGGGGCAACAGCTCCAGGCCCTGTTAGTGCTTTCCAGTGCTAACAGGGCTGTGCTGCTCTGGCTGGTGACCTGGGGGTCAGTCCTTTGTCACTGGAGTGTGGCCTCTCAGAGACAGAAACACACTTCTTGGTGGAGTTTTGCAAGATTCCCGAGACCCTGCCTACCTAGGGGATGAGCGCTGAGCTGGGGGTGAGGAGTGGGGTGGAGCTCCCCAGGACCCTCTCTGCATCTGTGCTGCAGGAAGGGGGGTGAGCCGATGTCTGATTAAGGAGCCTCTGCGGTCGGAGGTGGGTCACAGGGTCAGATGGGTCTGCAGCTCCCGGAGACACACCCTCGCCCCACACTGGCATTTCTTGGTAGCCTTGACTGACATAAGCTGCCGAGTCATCTGAGTTGAGGAGTTTTCCAGGGTTTTTTCAGTAGCAACCGTGTGAGGGAACGGGCTGACCTTTAATTTATAATCCTCGTGTCATGGAGTTTAGCAGAGCTTAACCTATGTCGGTTGTGGTTCAAAGCCGTCTGCTTTGCTTTAGAAGAGGCAGGCCCGGCTTTCAGTGTGAGTTTGAAAAAAGTAAATACATTTCACAAAAGGAACCAAGTGGGATAATAGGTCTGCACCATGAAAGGCAGAGGCAGGCCAGGCAGGAAAAGGAGGGCCGGGCAGGAAGTGGGCGCCTGCGGCTGGGTGGGGTCCGGTGGCTGAGGCGCAGGTGCTGAGGTGAGGAGCCGTGTCTGTGGCTCCCGGGAACTGGGTAGTGAAACCAGCACAGTGATAGCAAGGCCAGGAAGAGACACGAGCAGCAGAGAGGGGAGAGAGGTGCCAGGACTCTCCAAGGAGAGGTTAAGCACAGTGCTGTGTACTTGGCATTAATTAAGGTGCATTTTGGGCAGGTACCTGGGGGCGCAGTGCACACACCCCCTCTGGCATGTGGGCCCTGTCCCCCTGGCCTCTGAGAGTGTTGCCCAGCCTGACCCTCCGCTGTCGACTTGCTGTGGGGCTGGCCTCACCCAAGATGACAGCCTCTCCCTGGGCTACCCTCACCCTGTCCCTGTCCCTGGGAGAGACCCTGGGCCACCTCCTCCCACTTGGAGCAGAGCCTTGAGACCTCCAGCTCCAGCGTGTTGTTGCCTGAGGCTGCTGCTGGGCCTGCACCTTAGTTTCCTATCCGCCCCCCCGCCCCGCCTTCAGTGGGGAATGTTCCCTGGAGTGTCCCCTTGATAAATGACTACGAAGCCCCATCTCAGTCTCTGCTATCTGGGGGACCCCACCTGTAACAAGGTTAATGTAGGACCTAATTTCTAAATTCATTAAAAGGTCATGATAACAACGAGGGGGAGCTTTGGGTGCACGTACCGCTCTTGTGTTCTTAGAGATGGGAATAACAGGTGGTGGGGTGGACTGTGGCTGTGGCTGCTTCGCTCTGCATGCAGTGGGGAATCAAGGTCGGAGATGGAGCTAAGGTTTTGGGTGAGCCAGACATCGCATGGAGCGATTATCCTGGATTCGTCGGCTGGGCCCATAACATTGTACGAGAAGCAGAGGAGGAGAATGAGAGAGAGAGGCGTTGAGAGGCCAGAGTGAGAGATGCCGCTTGGGCAGGAGGCGGCCACGAGCCAAGGATGCAGGTGACCCCTGGCAGCTGGAAACAGGCGGGGGATGGACTGTCCCTCCAAACCTGCACGAGGAGGTAGCCCTGCCCACACCTTGACTTTGGTTCCCTGAAGCCCTCTTGGCCTGGCAGCCCATAGAGACGTGAGGCAGTAAGTCTGGGTTGTTTTAAAGCCACTGACTGCCTGGTAACGTGCTACAGCAACAGAAGTTTATTTATTTATTTATTTTTTTAATTAATAAATTTTATTTTTATATTCCCCCATACAATTGCAACCCCCCCATTCTGACCCCAATCCCTCCCCTCCCGCCCCCCACCCCCCAAAAAGTGTCTCTGGTTCATAGTTTTTTGTTGATTTTGATTTTCACTTTCTTATATTCATTTTCCTGGTCCCTAATTTAAGTTTTCTAGATTCTTGCTATGAGTGAGACCATCCGGTATTTTCTTTTTCTTTTTGGCTTATTTCGCTGAGCATGATCCCTTCCAGCGCCATCCATGAGCAACAGAAGTTTATAATCGATACAGCACTTTTTGGAAGCTCCAGGACAACAGGCATCAGAATATCCAAAAAATATTCTAACCTTTTACTCCCCAAGTAAGTATCCAAGTAACATCTAACCCTGAAATGGGTCATAAGAAAATACCTGAAGACATAAACTATCTGCTTGGTTTTAATTACGCAATCGCATTATTTTGATACTGCCTCTGGGCAGAACATGAGCCAAATTTTGTTTATTACAAGAGCCCAGTTGAAGCTGATGTTGTCAAGCATTTCAGAGGCACCAGGGTGGGGAATTTTGTGGGCGGAGAATGTTCTCAGGTATTCTCAAATCAGCCGTGAACACACCTACACAGGTCCGAGATCTGGGAGACTGTCACAGCAGTCGAAAAAGACTTTTTTGCTCTTAGGACTTTAAAGATGCTCTGACTCATGCGGAAAAATTTCCTTTTTTTTAAAAAAAGGTCATTTTTAAAATTGAGGTATAATTCATGTATAACATTATGTTAGTTTTAGGTGAACAACATGATTCAGTATTTGTGTCTATGAAAAATGATCTCCAAGATCAGTCTAGTGACCAGCTGTCCCCCTATAAAATTAAAAGCCTGTTTTTTTCCTGTGATGGGACTTCTAAGGTCCACTCTCTCAGCAGCTTCACAGATTCAGCCCAGTATTCTTCACTGGCCTCATGCTGTGCTTCACAGCTCCAGGGCTGACTTTTTTCCACGGGAAACTTGTCCCATTTGATCCTCTTCCCCCATTTCACCTCTACCTGTGGTTTCTTTCCTTCAACCGAGTGCTTCTGAAATAGGTCCTATGTTTGAAAGTGCGGGTACCTTTTGGCCTGACGTCAACATGAATAAAACTGAAATAATGCATAATTAATTACTTGGCACATCAATATCAATCTGCAATATTTACTGCTTAAATATTTCAGAGCCAGTGTTTTTATTTATATATAGGCATGTGTGTACATATGTAAATATAGTAAATATGTATTTTGAAAAAAACCAAACCACTCCATTCGCTTCCCCTGAGTCCCTTTTATCAAGAAGGCCAACTTGGCCCTCCCTGGTGATGCAGTGCTGTCGGGCTATCTGCAGCCACTGCACCACAAGTTTGATCCCCTGCCAGGGAGCTACCCACACGGTGCAGCAGATCTCTTCTGTCTCCCCACTGCTCCCCTCAGCAGTGTGTTTCAGTAGACCCACCAGTTCTGCTCCCCACTTTGTCTCTGGTGAATCCTTTCACTCCCGCACCTCTGGCCTACACCCCAGTTCTTGTATGCATAAATACATCTTAAAAAAAAAAAGGCCAAGTAAGCCCCCACAAAGTAGAAGAGTTCTTTCAAAATTTACTCTTAAGCCATAGGCTCTGGAGTGGGATGCAGACAGGGAAGAAAAGAGGGTGAAGTACATGGAGAGGCCAATGACGTGGGAGGACAGTCACGTCTCCATGCCTGCTTATAGTCCGTGACCCATGGCGGATGGGCGGCTGAGGATTTCCTCTTTTTTATTTCATCCAGCAAATATCTACTCTGGGGCCTCCCCCTGCCGCATCCCTTAGCATCTTAACTGAAGCACACGAAAAAGTGAGAACATTGCCTTCCTGTAAAATTACAGGCCCTGAGATTCCATCCACAAGAGATTTGGACTCAATAGGGCCTGAGGTTGGGCGGAGGAATCTGAATTTGTATGAGGCACTCCGGGAAATTCTCATTTAGGTAGTTTGTGGACTACACTTGATGAAACTCAGGCCCCGCTGGAATCCCAAACAATTTCACACACAGGATTCCTTTGTGAAAGCTGCTGATGAATTGACCTCCACCGTAAGTCGGGACTCGGAGACACCCCCACCTCCTCCGCCGCCAGGGACTTGTGTGAGTTAATCCATTTCATAAATAAAGTCTCGGGTGCAAGTCAAATATTTATTTCCTAGGTGGAATAGCGGAGAGCGGCCTTTTCTATCAGGCCTCATCATGACATGCATTGGGATGGCGCCGATGGAAAGTGATTGCACTCGGGGAGATTTTTATTATGTGATTTCACTAACAAAGGGAAGAGAAAAATCCAATTAAATTCCAGGAAGGAATGACAGAGAGGGATCAGAACGAAGCCATATTATTCCAAGCAGGGTCCCCGCCAGAGCAGAGGCCCAGGGCAGACCGTGGGGGCCGGAGGGGATGTGGCCAGGACACCTGCAGGTGGGGAGGGTTTCTGGCTCCTGTGGACTTTTCACGATCAACCTAGAAAGTCCAAGACTGAGAATGGAGTGTATTGAACTGTTCAAACTCGGTGTAGCAAGAAAAGAAGCAGTTGCTAATGACTGACAGAGGGACCTGTGGTGGCAGTGGGGCTTCTGCCTTGTTAAGGAGGGAAATTGATGATGGAGAAGAGTCAGGTGAGGATGGCAGTGTGCACCTGTCTCAGGTACACTTGGCAGTGGGTGAAGATTTCGTTGGGAGCGCTGGAGGCTGAAGGGCACAGAGCTCCATGTTCACGTCATGGGAATGAGGTTCTGGAGGTAATTGACTGTAGGTGGAAGCATATCCTGGTGCCAGGAACATCCTAGGGGCTGGGCCATCAGCACTGGTGGTGGCATTTTGGCAGGGATGGGTGGTACCGAGTCAGAACGGGTCCTGGTGCACCCGATGCTGAGAGAGAGCCTGGAGCCTGTGGTGGGGGAGCTTTGGGGACTTTGGGGTGGAGACTTGAGCACATCTGCTTCCTGAAAACTGGGTCTGAGAACCAGTGTGTGCTCATGCATGGTTCTGCAGTCCCAGGGGAAGGAGGGGAATCTCAGTCTTGGTGAAAGATGTTCTGCATGTCTATACCCGGGGTCAGCCCGAGTGACCGCGAGCATCTTGTGAGGGCCTCCAGGCTCCTGGCTTTATCTCATTGGCTTTGCATTTATAATAAAAAACACATTTCTGTGCAAAGTAGTAGAGGCACATTACAAAACAACCCAAAGTCGACACCGGGTTTATAACGAAAAGCAACGATCCTGTCCGCCACCCTTCCCATTCCCCGAGCCTTTATCTTCAGAGCCCAGCCTCCCTTTGGCTGTTTCTCGTGGGTCTGCAGTGTCACTGGATGTTCGGAGAAGCCAGCTGCAACGACATTGATGGTGTGGCAATGCTGTGCTCACACAGGATTTGTCGGACATTGGGTGCTCTCCCGGGGTTGCAGAAAGGCTGCACCTTGGGGAGAAGCAAGGACTCCTTTAATATGAATTTCTAATTTGTGCACTTGACAATTTTTTGACTCTGATGGTTATGACACCTCATGATAATAATAATAAATAGGCCCTATTTAATAATAATAAATAGGGCCAGGAGAAGCTGGCTTAATAATTTACGGAGAGGGATCTTTGTGAGCGTCTAAAGACTGCCAGAAATGGTGATCCCATTTTTCATGGGTGAGAGCGCGGGCACAGAGGATGAAACACATTTCCTTGGTCCTCCCGGTTTTACGGAGTTGGGATTTGACTCTCAGAATCCTGACATCTAAGGCCAGGCTTCCACCCATAGGGTTTGTTTCACCACACCTCCCTCGACGAGTAGAGAAGCCAAGTCTGAGGAGTCAGGAGGGGTTCATTCTAGAACCAAGGTCTTCAGAATCCAAATCGTAGGCCCTTCCGACCCACCGCTTCCCTCCTCCTCACTGAATCTCTGAGCCACTTGCCTGGATCCAGAAGAACTTTTGCAGAAGCCAAGGAAATTAAAGAATGAGGTCCAGGCCACCGGCCCCTCCCCAGTGCACTTAAGTAAGCTGCCAGCAAGGCCAGGCCATTCATTTTCAGGAACAGCCTAATGATCACCCGGCAGGTCTAGTTACGGATGTGGTTCATCAGGCCACCTGGATATACTAGTACAAAAAGCTCCCAGTCTGTCTCGGGCTGATGGATTGCCTGAGTTATTAATACGGAAAAGGAGGGAGATTTACTTTCAGTAGTGGAATTAAGGTGCTTCAGTGCACCCTGGACTAGTTGTTTTAAAATAACAGGGGACCGAGTTTCTCTTGGAAAAGGACTTAATTTTTATTGAAAACCTACCACCTTCAAATGGCCGGGAAGTTGAAGAACTATAAAACTGTCAAACAGCCCCATTATTAAAAGCTTTATTTGACAAATCTTCCACTGCTGGGGTAACTCGTGCGTTTTCCCTCCTCGCTCACAAGAAATAAAACCACTCACTTATGCAAACTGCTGACAAGGAATGGAAACAAATGGACTTCTAAACACGAACAGAGACACCTCACACCTTCCCACAACCTAATGGAGTCGAGAACACTCATAAATCTAGGCTCGGACAGAATGGTGGGTCCACAGCTCCTCATCTTATTGGGCTGGGAGCTGAGAAAAATGTCCCAATTTCTGGAAGGCTCTGTGGTGGGGGAGGGATTTGAGGGCATGCAGAAGTTTTGACTAACACAGCCCTCCTGGACTGGCTTTCTACGGCTGCGTTTCAAATTGCCACCAGCATAGAGACTTGAAACAACTCCCATTTACGACCTCTTGGTTCTCGTGGACCCGGGTGCAGGGATAACTCAGATGGTGCTTTGCTGAGAATCTCACGAGGCCAAAATCAAGAGGCCAACCAGAGTTGGGGTCCCATCTGGAGGCTCAACTGGGGAAGGTTCCCTTTCCCGCTTTGGGTGGCTGTGGGGAGCAGTCCGTTCCTTGGGTGTTTGTTTATGTGGCTGTTGTCCAGAGGCCTCCCGACTCCTAAACCTGCATCTCCTTGCCAAATGAAAGTCTCCGACTTCAAGCCAGTAGGACGTGTCTCTTGAGTGGTTTGGCAACATGGAGTCTTACGTAACGCAGTGTTGTGGAGGGGACCGCCGTATTCTGCTGGTTAGAAGGAAGTCGTGGTCTGGTACGCCTGATGGAGGGGCACTGGGCGAGGGTGTCAGAAGGCAAAGATCATGGGGGGCCTCTGCAGGGGGTCTGCCTACCTCTCTCCCACTCCATGGGTTGGCCAAGCGGAGCATGCCCTACTGCTGAAAGAGAAAGATGGAAGGAACGGACATGGGGAGGTAGGAAGCAGAGAAGGCAGGCAGGCCAGTTGATGAGGTTCTGGGCACAAAAAAAGGAGCAGCAGTTCTTTTCTGGAATATTCTCCAGAGAGGAAATGAAGGCCTTTCCTTAGTCAGGGGACTGCTGTCTGTCAGACTGGCTTGGAAATCTACCACTTACACCTCACTTGTCATTCCATAGATGCAAGTAGAGCTTCTACGGACATTCTGGAGATGGAAGTAGGCACGTCAGGGGTGCTGATGTGACCTACTAAACATAGAGCTTCCACAGGATCCAGCAATTCCACTCCTAGGTATTTACCCAAAGGACACAGAAACATCAATTCCAAAGAACACCTGCACCCCTATGTTTATAGCAGCACTGTTTACAATAGCTAAGCTTTGGAAACAGCCCAAATGCCCAAAAACAGATGACTGGATCAAGAAGATGTGGTCCATATACACCATGGAATATTACTCGGCATTCAAAAAAGATAAACACATGCCATTTGCAGCAACATGGATGGCGCTGGAAGGGATCCTGCTCAGCGAAATAAGCCAGAAAGAAAAAGAAAAATACCGGATGGTCTCACTCATAGCAGGAATCTAGAAAACTTAAATAAGGGACCAGGAAAATGAATAACTATAAGAAAGTGAAAATCAAAATCAACAAAAACTATGAACCAGAGACACTTTTTGGGGGGTGGGGGGCGGGAGGGGAGGGATTGGGGTCAGAATGGGGGGATTGCAATTGTATGGGGAATATAAAAATAAAATTTATTAATTAAAAAAAAAGGTGATGATCATTAATTACGTGGTTTGGAAAATTAGGCCTAACAGTCCGTGGTTTTTTTTTTTTTTTTTTTTTAAAGTCGTTCTTCCCACGAAGCAGGGATTTTCTTATGGACAATGGTGGTCTGCAGCCACTCAGCACGTTTGACCAGCAGCTCTGATGCGCACTCAGAACTCCATGCTCCTAAGCAAATGTGAAGTGAATCAGCACCGATGGGTGAGTGAGAGGGCGATGCATAGGAGGCAGGTGAGGAGCAAAGGTGCGGGCCGGGATGGAGGGACATGCACAGCCAGCGTCTTCACCTGCAGCGGCTGGGACTCAGCTTTCTCGGGCTCAGACTGTTGACATGCTGGGCCAGAGACTGTTTGGTGGGGGATAGGGTAGAAAGTTGAGTGGTAGCTCTGGCCTCTCCCCACTAGATGCCAATAGCACAAACCCCCAACCCTTTCCAGAACTTTCCAACAGTTCCCTGGGGAGGACAGCCACATCTTCCTAAGGGATGAGCCTTGATAGACAAGAATTCTGGCACAAAGTCATCAGCATTGATTTTTTTCAGGTGACTTGAGTTGCTTCACCTGGGCTGGTAGACGCCGGGTTGGGCTTTTATAAACGCGAGAACTTCTCACAGAGGCTCCCTCTTGTTGGGGGTCAGTGTAGCTGGTGAGTGTGGGAGGCAGACATTTCAGGGTTTGAGCTCTGGCTCTGCCACTTGCTGCTTGTGTGGTTGGGGGCAAGTTATAAAAATTGCCCCTGCTCTGGCCTCCTGACCTGCCAAATGGGGATATAACTCACCTTGCTGCTGTGAAGACACGCAGACCTACGCCCGGGGCTTTGGGTGCTCAGGCGCCAGGGTCCTCTTAGGCTGGCCATATTCTCCATCCCCTTCCTCTTGACCTGGGATCTTGTTGGGGTGGAACAGCGGGAGCTGTGGCCCAGCTGCCTCGCGGAGGTGAAGATGATGAGGAGGGAGTGGGACACAGAACCGAAGGACAGGCCAGCTCTGACGAGGAGAGCAGGCAGGTTGGGTGGGCAGGTCAGGGAGCCGTCTTGGTGTCCTTGATCATCAGGCTGTTTCTTTAAGCTTGCACTCTGGCGGCTCCCCTCCCCGCCCTAGGGGAGCTTGCCTTCCACTGGCTGCCAACTAATCTTTATGATTCCCTTGGTAGAAAACACTTTTGTGCACCAACCCATAATGCAGCGCCTACACATTATTTTCATAAAACACATGCAACATAAAGCTTTCTATTTTGACAATTTCTAAACACACAGATCTGGGGCATTAAGTGTGTTCATGCTGTCGTGCAAACATCCTCAGCCTCCCTCTCCTGGACTCTTCATTATCTGAGATCGAAACTCTGTCCCATTACACTCGAGCTCCCGTCCCCCGGCAACTTCCACTGCGCGTTCTGTCTCTGTGGCTTTGGCTGCATATGTGAGTCCATTTGTCTAAGTGGAACCATCAATATCTGTCCTTTTTCGGGGACAGGTTTCTTTGACTTAGCACCATCCTTTCAGGGGCTGCTCATGTTGTAGCCTGAATCGAAATCTACTTCTTTTCAAGCTGAACAACATCCCCCCTGAAAGTCCACACCCCTTCCGGGTATCAGTTCACCACCGAAGGCCTTTCTAGAGTCGCGAACAATGCAGCCGGGACCGTGGGCGTGCAAATATCTGTTCGAGTGCCAGCTCTCACTTCTTTTGGGTTGATCCAGAAGTGCAATTGCTGGACTACCTGGTCAGTCCATGTTTAATTTCTTTTGCGGTCCCGCCATAGCTTTCCCCAGGGCAGATGCTCTGTCTGATGTGCCCCCAGCATTGGGCTAGGGTTCGAATTTCTCCTCGGCCTTTGTGGTTCTGATTTGCATTTCCCCAATGACTGGTGATGCTGAGCATCTTTCCATGTGATTACTTATATTTTAACAATTTTTGGAAGGCTTCAAAACTTTGCCCTGCAATTTTAGGCAGCCGTAGGAGGAGATCCTTTTGGACAGGAGGCCTCCCCATTTCTGAATACCCCAACTTCCAGAAGTGCACACGATGCCTGTTTGCTGCCCGCATGAGGTTCTCCCTGGTGCTCCAGGCTCTGAAAGCTCCCCAGGATAAGCTCCGCTCATTCATCTTGGTTATCAAGTGATCTCCCGCCTACAAAGTCTGCTGAGGAAAGCGCGGCCAGCTGCCATCTCTTTAATATTTAGAAATCTGCCTCAATAAATCCTCACTCTTCCTGCGTGTTGCTCTCTGTACGCGTGGTCTCTCGTTTTCTGGGAATTCAGTGGGATGGTTTCTTATCTGTTAGCTTGTCAGAAACAGGCGTGAGGACAATCAAATGTTCATCTATTCACATCTGGTGTTCTGCGGGGAACAGCGTTTAGACCCCTACCGTGTTTAACTGTATAAATGGTTTCTATCTATCATCTAAATCAGAACTGCTTACGTGCGGAGCAAGCTGTACCCGAGAGGCCCACGCAGGGTCGGGTTTGGGGAGGGGCAGAGGATTTGGCCTCCTTGAACACTGGCGACTTGTAGAATTTTCACCGTGGGCCTTTCTTATGTTTCTACCCCCGATCCTTCGAGTTCAGCGGTTAATCACCGCTCTGCGTGCACACGTGTGTATGAACATGCATACACGCACACACGTGTGTCTGTGAGTCTGTGCATCTTGTATGTCTCACTATATTTGCATTTGCATGTTTGTCTCGTCCCTCTTCTCCCGCGTGTATGTGTTGCTCTGTGGCTGTGCTGTGTCTCTCGTGACGCCCATCTGTGTTCATCTGTGATGGCGCCGCGTGTCTTGGTGTCTGTCTGTGCTGGCACAAGTCGGCCTGCTTGTCTGTGCGTCTGTGATTGGCTGTCTCAGTGAGTGGATTTAGGGTGTGCGTCCCACCCCACAAGTCCTTTCCCTTCCACGTCACTCCTCTTCCTTTGCGGATGGAGGCAGACCATCCGTTTTCAAGCTGGAGGGCAGCCAGGAGGACTGTGCTGGCAAGAGGCTCTTATCCCTTGGCACATCAGAGGCTTGGCTTGCAGGCCCTCTGGGATGGTTCCCACACTTGACTCTGTGCTGGAAACACTGTACTGGGGCAGAATGACTGGTTTCTTTCTGCTACACACAGATGCCTCTCTCCGTGACCACATTTACTAATCCCCATGAGGGAAAGTGCTTTGAGGTGGGACTCCAGGTCCAAATGGATCCTTGTCCTGAAATTTCCTTGCCTCCAGGGTAGCAGTACTCTTCATTCGGTTGACCCAGTTGCTGTCTCTTTGCCAGCCGGTCTGCCCTCTGCTCTACCCTGTTCTTCTCTTCTGAGCTCCCAAGGAGGGCTCAATCCTCTTATCCTGCTGCCAAATATCAAGAAGATGGTGACAGTATTGCTCATTGCCATCACCAATGCCACCACTATCACCATCATCACCACTATCATTGTCATCACCATAATCACCACCACCATCACCATCATCCACACCATCAGCATCAGCATCATCATCATTTTCATCTCTGTCATTAATCGGCACTTAGGTTTACAAGGCACTTTGTTGAGTACAAAGACCTAGTGTTCCACATACTTTACCTCCTTCAATACATGACACAAGTAAAATAATTTGCCTTTTCCAGAGGCAGCTGGTATTGACTGAGCAATCACAATGTGTCAGACCTGATGCTCAGCCCTTTCTCTGAGCTCAGCCACTTCACATGCACTACAGCCCCAGGAAATAGCTATGATTACCTTCACCATCTAATAGACAGGAAAGTGGAGACCAGGAGAGGTTAAGTAATTTGTCGGAGGTCACACAGCTAGTAAGTACACAGCTAGGAAAAGAAAACGGGATTTTGGAGGTGAAGCCCATGTTCTTAACCACCACAGAGTGGAGCCAAGCACCTGGGTTGTGCCTGGTCTTCCTCCTTGACTTTCTTTGGACCAGCAGCACTGAGGGCTGTCTTACAGCTCTGGACAGACTTCTTTGCGGGCACAGCAAGTCACTCTGCTCCCAAGGGATCCTGTGCTTGCAGATCAACTTAACTTTTGGTTTACCCCCCAAAATACACACAACACACACATATATACATGCACATACAAGAGATGACACACACATACACACACTATATTTATACCCAACACACGCACACCCACACACCCAAGCGCACACATGAACAGCACACAAACACATGCACATAGAACACATATGACATAATAGCTTACACTGTACACATTCTTGTGACACACAACACACATAGCTAACACACATAGTGTAAACAACATACCACGTGCAACACACCCACACATATACACAATCAAACAACACACAAATTTAAATACACAAAAGCACACAATATGTACACATACACAAATTCACAATACACAATAGCACATATACACAAAACTATGTGCACACATACATGCCACATACATACACAAAACACAATGCACTATATACAACACATCACACACATGCACAAATGCACACGCAAATGCACACCAGTCATACACACAGACAAATAATACATGAACAATATACACATGCACACACAATGCAGAATAATGCATAATACACAGCATAGACATGTACACATATACACCACACATACACATGTACACAAACACACACACAAATTTCCCAGATGTCCAGGTCAAGTCTTTCAATGCCATCCTCTCACTCTTTCCTTACACCTCTCACCTGTTGTGGCCCATGCTTCTCTCTTAAAAATAGATTTGAAAATGGGGCCTCCCTGGTGGCGCAAGGGGTTAAGCTCAGCACTATGAAGCTGTCCGCAGCCTCTGCAGCAAGCACGAGTTTGATCCCCGGCCAGGGAGCTACCCACATGGCACAGCAGACCTCTCCTGTCTGCCTGCTGCTCCCCTCAGCAGTGTATTTCGTCAGTCTGCCTGTTCCGTTGCCCACTCTGTCTCTGGTGAATCCTCTCACCACCACCCCCATCTCTGCCTTGTACCCCAGTTCTTGTGTGCTAAATAAATCTTTAAAAAAAATAGATCTGAAATCAAACAACTGCTCTCTACCCACTCTCCATGCCTGCTGCGTGATGTTGTCTGTCCTTTGGACATTGTAGTGGCCTCCAGCTGACCGTCTTGGTGTTTCCATTTCTTCTGTTCTCCTGGCAGAAGCCACAGAGACCAGCGAGGTTAATGCATTAAGTCCGGTCACGTAGCCTCTCCTCCCAGGCCCCCCATAGCTCCCATTTCACTCAGAGAAGAGCCGCACGCCTTCCCGCCAGACCTGAATGACCGGGCGACTGCCCTGTAGTCCGGCAGCTGCTGAGCTCTCCCTTGTCCCCTCAGTCACATTTCGTTATTCACGCGCGGCACATCTGGAGTGTGGACACGTGTCGTCCTGCCTCAGCCTGACGGCCTTCCCTGTGCCCGCCTTGCTGCCTCTCTTTCCCCTACTCAGTGGTAACCTGCCCTGGATTTCAACATTCTTCGCTCTCCAGAGCCACTTCCTTTCTCCATGTTTTTCTCCTTAACCCTTAGGATGGCGCCAACAACCGTGTCATTTATTGATTTTGTGTATTTCCTGTGTCTGCCAGCAGGGCCTAGGGTTAGCGTCTGCTGGACACGGCTTTGTACCTGGCACAAAGTAGGCATCTGGTTCATATTTGCTGGATGGCGTGTATATGGCAACACATGGGGATGATGGAAAATTTCTAAGGTACACTTGGGAACTATTTCTTTCCTATCACCTCATTTCACCTGGGAAGCAGTGCTGGGGCTGATTATCCTGTCTCTTTCCAGGAATATTTCCTACAAACAAGCATTCATTTGTATGCATTTACCTGCCTTTACCTCCATCTTTATCTGTATCTCTTTCTCCACCATTATCTCCACCCCTTTCCCTAACCTTCCACTTGCTTTATTTTGATATATCTCTACCTGCATCCCCCCCTGGCCCCCAGCTCCATCTCTAGCCCTCCCTCTGTTTATGATCTGGCTGTGGCAGCCTCATATACTAACCCTTCCTTCTCCAATTAATATCTTGGCAAATCTTTCACATCAGGACACGGAGAATTGCTGCAGCCCCTTTAATGCCTACCGATGGTGCACACACGTTGTCCCCCTGGCTCCTTGGGGGTTCACTTTTGGGCAGTTCCCCCGTCTTTGGCTCTTGCAGACGTGACTGCCATGAATAATGCAGTGCTTGCCTCATTTCTCACAACTGCGAGTCTATCTGTGGGATGGATTCCTAGAAGTGAAATTGTGTTGGCTTACTTAAAAAAAAAATCAATGCCTGGCAAGGCCTGCTTCCTGGAGGGGGGCTCCTGACGGCGCCGACCCGGTGGTTAACGGTGCTTCTGTGCTTCATTATGTCAGGATGGAAAACCGACTATTATACAGTTAATGGAGGACTCACGACGTCTGCCAGATCGGAAGCCTGACCTCAGGCTCCCCAGCCCCCGCTGGAGAAGGCGCCACGAACCCCAGAGGCTGTAAGTGGCAGAGAGTTTCAGGGCCTGATTTTCTGCTCACAGCAGCATAAGACCTAATTTTCTTTAAAAGCAGCCCTGAGGCCAGGACTTCTCTGCTATGCTGTAAGCGTCTCTAATTTGGACTCTGCCTATTGTCTCAGAGGTTATTTTTCCTCTGCTTGTGGAGCTGGAGCTGGAGCTGGGGCTGGGGTGGGGTGGGGAGACCAGGGCTGCTGTCCGCAGCCAGAGAGAGAGGACACAAAGAGTGGACTTGGGGTGTCAGCCTTGCTCGAGCGCCTCGGGACATCCTGGGCAGTAGTTTTACTCTCTGTAAAATGGGGACAATGAGATCCACCCGTCTGAGGATTTACTGAGCTCGTGCATTCCTCTGGTAAAGATGCTTGCCTACAGGCCAGCCGTGGACGAGGCTCAAAGGAATGGAGACTGGAGCCAAACCCCCAGAATCCCTCGACGGCCTGCATGTTATCAGCATGTGAAGCTTTGGCATCCTGCCTGGCGCGTAGTAGGGGCTTTGCCATCATCAGAGGGTAGAGAGGCACTTGTTCCGTTTGGGAGAACTGGAGCAGAGAGGGGGATTTGCCTTGCAGGAGGAGAGCCTGGGTTTTCAGGAAGGGGGTTGGAGTTTCCCCTCGGAGGCGGCCTCCGGAGGAGGGAGATTGCTAGGGTGTTTGCGACAATGAGGAATCCACTCCAAAGGACGCCTGGAGGGGAATGCCCCCAGCAATGGCATGCTCTCCCCAGGTCGCCCAGCTGCGCCCACCAGTTAGTGACAGACCCCTCGGCTAAGCTGGGCTCCTCAATCCCTGCGTTCAGTTCTGTCCTGGCGCTGACCTCAGCCTGAGCGGGGTCCAGAGGCCTCTGGCCCAGAGGCCCCCCAATTGCCCCCTGAGCTTCATTCTATGTGACACCCCATGTAGTTCCTCCGTCCCGTCACCCTCCATGACCTGGTATTTCAGCGAAATAACCCACGATGGGCCACCTTAGCTCATGCGTGTTCTTTGTCTGTTTCCTTATGGTTTTTAATCGTTCTCTTTTGATATGATAAATGAGTCTTGGCTTCTCACAACTTTCCTGAAGACCCAGGGTAAAAAAACATCCTTTCTGGTAGCTATTGCAGCTGTGAGGGAAAAATGAGCCTCCTCTATAGTCAATAAATCACTTTGTCACCTTAATCTTTTATTGATCTCAATAAAAGTTGTATTTTGTTTCTTAACAAAAATCCACCCGGGAGGACATCCCGTGCAGGTGGGGCACAATGAAAGTCGTCGTCAGGCCATCACCTCACCTGGTTATTTACGGGAGAGGAATGGATCGGAGGGGCCGGGGGAGGGGGCGAGAGACTAGGAAACCATTTTGGCGAGTGATGCATCATGTTTTAAAAGACACACTTGACTCCAGGTAGCCACTCACAGACGAGAGTCTGAAGCTGTATTTTACGCAGACGTTCACAAACAGGTCCTAAACATCCTGCTTCTCTGGGTCGGGAACGGGGCGGCGCTCTCCTGCTTGCAAGTAAAGCATCTGCGTGGTCAGTTAAATTTAGAATGTGGTGATCATTGTTCTCAGCCGTGGCTCGCGCCCTTGGGGAGGAGGCTCCGAGCAGGTTGCTCTCGGAGGAATGAGGAACGGTTCGTCAAGGCTTAGAGTAAGCTTTCGTTAAGGCTTTGAGGAAATATATTTCCCCCTCGGTGCAGAGGTGAAGACATACCAATAAAAAACGGCCCCAGTGTTAATGTTTGTGTATGGCTTCTCTCCCCGCTAGGGTGTCGGGGAAGGGAGGGTTTGGGCTTAATAAGAAAGCAGCCAATTAGAGCCGGGACCACACTCATTGATTTCCTCCCTGGCTTACTTTTCTGGAAGACTCAACTCGGCTGTCCTGTCAGGGCATCATCCCTGGGACCCCAGTTTTTATTGTCATCAAATATGCTGTGATGTCCTCGGTCATCGTGGAGTCATACCTGACTGTCCCCATCCGGCAAGGGCCCTGCTTTCGTGGCGCTTATGTTGTCAGGTGAAGCAATGAACCATTGTGGGCATAGGAGGGGCTCAGAGCTTGGAAGTTTGAGTTTATTTCTAGTTCCTTCATTTAGCTGATGGTTGTCATAGCCTTTCCCTCTTGCTCTGTGTGTGTGTGTGTGTGTGTGTGTGTGTGTGTGAGAGAGAGAGAGAGAGAGAGAGAGCGGGAGCACACATACCTTATGGGCTCATATCCCTTAGAGGTGTGAGCCACTTGGTGTCCTCAGTGGTGTCTCTCTGTGCAAGCACCTGGGATGTTACTGCCAGTAGGTCAAGTACTTTCATCCTTTTTTTTCCCTAAATATTTATTTATTTATGCATACCAAGATCTGGGGTACAGGCCGGAGGTACGGGGAGGGGTGAGAGGATTCACCAGAGACAGAGTGGGCAGCAGAACAGGCAGACTGATGAAATACACTGCTGAGGGGAGCAGCAGGCGTGATAGGAGAGGTCTGCTGCGCCCTGTGGGTAGCTCCCTGGCCGACTGGGGATTGAACTCCTGCTGCAGAGGCTGCGGATAGCTTCATAGTGCTGAGACTTAACCCTTGTGCCACCAGGGAGGCCCTAAATTACTTTCATCTTAATTCGCATACAATCCTAGGACGTAGGTATTAAGAGTTGCTGTTTTGCCAGAGGGTAAACCATGTTCCCAGAGATTAAGAGGCCCGAGGTCATTCAGGAAATGGCAAGGTCAGCTAGGAGCCCAGGCAGCTGGGCTCTACAGGCCGTGCTCCATACCATTGCATTTTTTTTCCATCCCTCTAAAATCTTAGTGTCCTAATTCTCCTAAAGGGGAAACTCAACCATCACCTTTGATATCGGGACCAGGAATGGGGCCTGTCTGGGCATCCACTTGGCCAATCTGGGACAGTGGATAGGAAGAGGGTCACGACTCAGAGTCCGACACCCCTTCATCTGATGGGCTTCAGAGCCCACGAGCAGTGGCTGTGTCTTTGTGATAGTTCCAGTGTGGATGTTACTTCACAGCACATTTGACTGTGAAGAGGAAAATGTTCTCCAGTAGGAGTTGACCGATCACCTATTCAAGGGAAGATTAACAGGCCCCCAGATACAATGTTTGCACTGGACAGCATTATCTTTTCTCTGATCTAGGAGAAGTAGGAGGGGATATATAAAATAATTAGCACATGTAGCCCAGGATATGCCCAAGAATAGGGAAATGACTCCAGAAGACTTTTGGTTGTATTGCCCACCCCCCCGCCCCATCCATATACAGCGATTTATCCACTCGCAGAGTGTGGGAAACCCAGGCCTGTGCACATTCAGAAAAATGTAAAGCACTACATAAAACAAAGGAAATTGTTAGTAAAACAGATGCAGTGTTAATTGCACTTGTGAGAGCGGCATAAATAAAACAATACATGTGCTAGAAACTCCTCGCAGTATGCTCAGATTTTACAAAACTGGCTTTTCTGCAAAGGTAAAGAAAAAAAAAAAACAATAGCAGAATTGCCAGACTTACATCTTTTAAAAATTATTCAGATCGATGCTAATAGAGTCAATGATGTTCAGCCTCTTAGTCACTTTTCCATTCAATCAACATTTGCTAGAGCTCTGCTCATCCTTGCACTTACGATAATAGAAGAAGGTTGTCTTGCTCTTGTCTTCACAGGGCTACATGCTTAAATGCCAAGTCAATGTTCAGGGCAGTGGTGCTGCCTGGGATGGGGGTGGGCGAAAGGGGCTCGACCATCTCTGAAGACAGTTCTTGTTGTCTCAGCTGGGGAGAGGGTGTTACTGGCCTCTAGTAGGGAGAGGCTTCAGGTGCTGCTCAGTGTTGCACAGTGTGCTGGAGAGCTCCTTGCAGCAAAGACTTCCTTGGCTCCCAGTTCCAGTAGTGCCAAGGTTGAGAGGCCATCCTGCGGAATGGGAGTGAGGAATGCTGACATAAACACATGCAAGTTCTACAGGAGCACAGAAAGAGCCGCTAAGCCAGCCTTGGCGCTGGGAAAGATTTTATGAGGGAAGTGACATTTGAATTTAGCCTTGGTAGGTGACTGAAAGCTTACTTGGTGTGGAGGAAGAAGACCAGCGTGTACGAAGGCCTCGAGGCAGACAAGGGCAAGGTGGGGTGAAGGAATGAGGACAGACTGAAGATAGACTTGATGGTAGACATCAAAAAGACTGAAGCTTAGTGTGTGTTGTTGGGGGGTGGGCAAGAGTGTGACAAAGCCATGAGCACTTGCAATGCCAGACTCGGGGCTCCAGACTCTTCATATAGGTCAGGGGTCAGCAAACAGCAGCCTGAAGGCCAAATCCAGCCTGAGGGCTGGTTGAGAGCGACTCATTAGTCATGGTATATTCCACATGTTTAAGTGTTGAAAAACAATCCCGGGAAGGATAATATTTCGTGACACATGAAGATGATATGCAATTCAGATTTCAGCGCCCATAAATAAAGTTTCCTGGCACAGGGCCACACTCCCTTGTTTATTTATCATCTGTGGTGGCTGTCCCGACACAACAGCAGAATTGAGTGGTTGTGACAGGGACCATACGGTGCACAGAGCCTGAAATATTTACTATCTGACTCTTCCTCGGAAAAGGTCTGCTGATGCCAAGTTAGAGACTAGTGATGCCGTCACACTGCAGAAACCGTGATTGCACCTTCCAGATTTGAACGAATGCCTGGAAGTTTAGATCCAGGTAGAAAGAATTGTTATCCAAGAGAGATACTTATTAGGGAGATTTATCTAAGTCAGGATAGGCTAAGCTGCTCTGCAGTAACAAGCGAGCCCTCAAATCTCAGGGAGTTTCAAGGCTAGTTTCTCATTTGATGTACATGTGCCTCAAAGGCTGGCTGGGGTTCATCTTTGTCCCACCCACACTCCAGGATTCAGGCTGAGAGAGAAGACACAGCCGGGACATGTTGGCTGTGGTGGCCACAGGAAAAGTACAGTGCCTGACAGATTGACTCTCAAAGGTCTTGCCTGAGACAGACAGACACACACACACACATAACATCACACATCCACAGGCTTTTACTCAGATCATATTTTTCAAGGCAGGTGTTACTCCTTCTGTTATAGGACAGGGAGAGGGGCAGCCCAAAACCCCGCAAACCTGCCTATTTTAAATGGGTTCTGTCATCCGCCACATCAACACAAAACACATGAGACTTTAATGGGAAGGAACTTTAA